AATTCTTGGCTCCAAATCAGTAATCTTGGATCTATCTTCTTGAAAAGTTAAATAATCCTCACAGTTTATTGTTTCAGTGAGGGCTTTTCAAAATTCCGAGCCAATCTTGAAAGGCAGGGCTTCTGGTCTCAATCACTTACGATTGGAGTCCTCAAGTTGTTGGTGTATATTCAACTATCGTGCATAGATCGGTAATGGATAGGCGTTGATGTCCCCATTTGTTGTTAAAACTACCCTTGAAGCCTGACAACTTACATTTGAGTTACACTGAAATTTGCCGATTTCGGATTCTCATGACTAGCCTCAGCATATTTTTACGACAGTAAATTTCTACGGCAGAGTTCGGATCTCTTTCTAGAGTGGTGAATGACAAATTTTTCGAAAATGGGACCGAAATCCTTCACTTGTACTTACAATGCTTGAAAGGAAAGAGGGACTGAAGGCTGTTGCCTTAGGCTAATGAAGTTCAGGAAAATAATAGTGATTGCGCAAGTTGCGTTTAGTTTGGATTACGGCTTTACTCCTCATAGAGATTGTACGGTTTTATTAGTTTGTCTGGACTCCCTAACAGGCGCTTTTTCTCTTGAGGTCTACGCACAGGGCAAAATAATTCCCGAGAACCTCCTAGCCTACATTGCGTTTTGTGTTGTCACGGCGTTGGAGTACCTGCGAAAGGATCTCGTGACAATGCATCGCGATGTCAAGCCCTCAAACATCCTCATCGATCGCGCCGGGCACGTGAAGGTTCGTTGGCACTCCTTCAATCCCATTATTTTTAATCACCTTGGCAGGACAACGAGATCCGCTCTCTTTGGTCCTCAAATCATTGGTATGCATGTGCACTTTTGCTATACTACGCTTACTTTTAGGGAAGCTAAACTGGGCAGCAATTATAAGGCTCCTCTCTCATCATTTTGCCTATGCTGTTTCTCTTATTGCCGTGGTAGGAATTTCATCCTTGTTTATCACTTTCTATATGTCTTGAAATAAGATCCTTTAGTTGTCTAGTTTTTTGCACCCGTTCCTCTAAACCAAAAGTCCTACCAGTTAAAACTTTTACCGTGTTTCCTTAAGTTGGTGTAACAAAATCGAATTTAAAAACCAAGCCCGAACATCGACATTGAGGTTCAATGGTGTTAGAAGTGAGCTTGTTCTTAAAAGGACGAGGTAGGTGTTGATGTGTTGGCAGAGTCTTTGGTGTACCAAAGTTTCACCAAGTTAATCTGTTGCAATCTAAGCACCGCTTAATGCTCGACTTCCTCCCATTTCCTTGATTGGCATTTATAATTTGTCTATAAACTTGTGGTTACTACATGCAGTGAAATGTCATTGCTATTTACGAAGACGGGCGCCTTAAGGATTCCTATCTTACCAGACAGGTAATACGACGGGAGGAAGACGGTTCCTTTGAATGGTGGTGCATCAATCTCAGTCTTGGGCATACTTTTTGTTTTCGTGTGCACATCTTTATTAATTTGTTTGATAATAATTACACTCTGGGCATATTTGATTCTACTTTCTTCTAACATGCCATCACTCTACTTTTATCTAATTTTTGATCAAATCTTTCACCTCATAGCCAGTTTCGAGCTAAAAGAAAACTCATGAGTAATTCTCAAACCTTGTTCGAAGAATCCCACAGTAAGTAGTTGAATTCGAAGCCTTATTGAACTTCTTTTGATGTGTGCATTGGTATTAGTTTATCAAATTCTTCCCGCCGCGAAGGTTTGTGACTACGGTGTTTCGGGCGAGTTGAAGAACTCTATGGCCCAGAGCAACACGGGTACCTGTCGCTACATGGCGCCCGAGCGCATCGATCCCAGTCGCAGTGCCGGTGGTGGTTTCCGCATTCAAGCGGACGTCTGGAGTCTGGGACTCACGCTTCTGGAACTGGCCACTGGCAAACATCCCTACGAAAGCTTCGTCAATCAGTTTGAGCTTCTCAAACACGTAAGTCATCAACGTGCCCTTCTGTGAATCATTGCGTTTCCAGTTTCTCAGCCACTTTAGTCTTCCTCTATTTTGACGGTTTTCATGATTCTCGTCTTTTGGT